GAGTCTATCTCATATATTAGTTTTACCTTTTTAAGTTGCATTACTGAAATAAATGAACTTTTGCACGATATTCTAATTTTTCGAGTTTCACCTGTGTGTTTAACTTATTCCATAAAGAAATTAATCCAATCTGAGTTTTGCCTCCCTGTCTAATTTCTTACAGTTAAAGGGATAAATAGGGGCAGATTTTGAACATTTGGGGGAGCTCTACATCATATTTTTCTTAAACATATTGGCTTTTTTCATTACGGAAACTTTCAGCACACAGATCCTACTGGCACAGGCCTTGCTCAGAAGAATGTCTGATGGCGTCAGTTAAAAAGTCATTTAATCTGTTTAATCTGAAAAATGTTATGATTTCTGAAACTCGGGGGCTTCAGAAACCCTCTTGAAATTAATATTTGGAATAATAGTGAATCTTCCCAAAAGCCATCCAGTCAGAATTGCCCATGAGCAGCAATTCACAAGCCTAAAACGAAACCTTGGGATCTGCAGACCTCTTAGCTTGACTAAAGCTGGTGTTGATAACTCTTAACTATTTATTTTTTATTAAAAATTTTATACCACCCATATCCCCTATAAGGTGACTCTGGGCAGATGGGTAAGAACAGAATTCATGGAAATCTAGCAAGGTGGAAGCCACTGTCTTAAAATTGCCTGCAAGCACTTGGAGGAAAGTCATAAAATATGGAGCTTTTTATGTTTATATGCATATTATTATATTTGGGAGAAGCTAAAAAGTACGAATTCTACAGAAGAATATCAGACTGTCCATCAGCTAAATCTGAAGTACACATGAATGATGCAGTAAAATAGTGATCCTGAACATATAAGCATGTCTACAAGAGAATGGATGAGGAAAAATAAATTGATTATTTTGGAATACAGGTAGTCCTTGATTCATGACCATTTGTTTAGCAACCATTTAAAGTTACAACAGACCCCCCAAAAGGTACTTATGACCCGGATTCAAAGTTCTGACATGTATGACCATTTGCAGCATCTTACAGTCATATGACTGCAATTTAAGATGTCTTTTGTCAGAAACCACCGTTTCTGGTTTCTGGCAAAAAAACTCCCATTGTAGAGAAGTCTGCTTAATGGCCAAAAATGGGTTGGTCACATGATTTGTATTTGTATTTTGTATTTATTGAGTATTTGTATGCCGCCCTTTCCCTGAGGGGACTCAGGGCGGCTCACAACAATCAGGGGAAGGGAGTGCAAGACAAGACTTAAAAAGAAAAAAAAAAAATCGTGAATAAAAGAAAATTATCCATAAAACACGACATTCACTCAACATTCGGGCGGGGTGAGAGTAATCCTATTGACTCATGCCAGTCATTAAGTGATCCACTTAATGACTGGCATGAGAGATGACCATAATTCAGGGGTCAATTATAGTCATAAGGACTATGTGTAGTTGTGTCAGAATCGCCCTAGAAATGTGGCAGCGCATAAAACAAGTTTGTCCTAGAAACCTTTTAAGTGTTAATGAACTGAAGCAATTTGCCATGGAGCAATGGGTTGCAGTTCCTTGCAATGTCTTTTACATTGGGCTTGCTTTGTAAAATAAAAGTTGTGTATTTAAAATGAATCATGGAGAAGCTCTATCTGTATAGTTGTTAGGAGTCAAAAAGAAGTGTTTTAATTTGAAGTGTACTTTATAATTTTTGGACCTAATTCTGCATTTTTCTTTTCATCCAAAAATCCCAGTCTGAAAGGCACTTTATCATGCAAGTAGTCTGTGAAGCGACACAGTGTCCTGATACTAGGGTAAGCCCGAAACTTTTCCAGCAATCTGTAAGTCTTGGTGTATGGAAAGTATAAGGCTGTTTCCAAAAATATGACAAGCTTTTAACTGATTTATTACCAATATTTTATACTGTGCTATCAATATATTCAGTACTTCATGGAAAAAAAACCAAAATTAGATATCTGTCCCAAAAGAGATTAAAATACAACATAAGAAAAAGATGGCAGGGAATGACACAGGTTCCAGGTATAAAAGTGAAGAGATTCACTTTTCATCTTTAGCTTGGTTTCAATCAGAGTGACGAAAGATGATTTATATACATTACAAAATTATATAGAGGGCAAGGGTTTTGAGGAGGTCTTTGGTAGAATGAAAAGGATTGGCATGATCAGAGAAGCAAGAAAGATCTTGGTCATAACAGTTGCTTTTTATAGGTAATAGTGGATAGATCTCCTGTTATAATGTCAGAAATGGTATAGGAGGGTTATTTTTCTGATATTTGATGGGTTCAATGCTTTACACTACTTTCTATTATCTTTTCAACTTTAGAATTAGAAACAAACTCTTAAAATATTTTGTCAAAGTAATTTGAATACTAGGTTTATGAGGTAGATAAGCCATTAGTATTTAATTGTTTGCCTACTGTCCTGTTCTTTTGCTCTTATATTTAGGTGCGAGTAGCTGCCTTACAGAACTTGGTGAAGATTATGTCCCTTTATTATCAATACATGGAAACTTATATGGGTCCTGCACTTTTTGCTGTGAGTACTCACAAGTGGGATTTGAGATTGGATAATTATGTGCTTTAAATTAGTGTATTGTCTTGGTGGAGCAGTTAAACACTGGTTTAACACTGCTTTTGTTTTTCTAAAGATCACAATTGAAGCCATGAAAAGTGATATTGATGAAGTGGCTCTGCAAGGCATAGAGTTCTGGTCAAGTGTCTGTGATGAAGAAATGGAGCTGGCTATAGAAGCTTCAGAGGTAAGTTAAAGAGTTGCCAATACTACATTTTCTGAATCCACTAATTATGGCAGTTCAGGCTTACAGCAATCTTTAGTCTGTGATGAGACATGCACCACATTGACTAAAGTGATGCATAAATCTATAACTCAAGGTTACTAAATATGAGAATGTTTTGCACTGTACATTTGAAGGATTCTAGGTAGATTTTCGCATATATAAGTATTGTAATAGTACCCTATTTCTGCTGCATTTAACTTTTGTTTCTCCTGATGTGCTCAACTGCTACTTTCATGTTTTTTGACAAACACTCCTTGCAACAGTCCATATACTAGCTGCTCTCTTTCTACCGGCATCTGCAAATGTTAAAAATTCTCAATCCATTTCCTAGATAGAGTACCGAACCCTACATGGAGTACAGATTTGAAAAGTAAATATCATTTAGGTTTCAAGCTAGCAGAATAGTATTGCTTGCTTATAGTGCATGCTCGTATTCTCCTCCCCAACCGTACACATTTTTTTTAATATTGTAGGTATTACTTTTATATGTGTCCATAAATACATTGAACAACTAAGGTACATGACACATTCTCGTCTTACTCCCTAAGTTTGAGCTATTCACTAAGAATTCCATATATTCTCATGTATGCTTTATTTCAATCATTTAACAACTGACTTTCAACTTCATTTTCATGCAAAATTTAATTTAGTTTACTTTACTTTATTGTCATTGCACCTTGTACAACAAAATTAAATGCCATCTTCAGTAGTGTACATTATAACTATAAAAAATACAACACCAAAACACATCCTTCACATTCTATACAATTGAATTAAAAACCCTTGATATTTCATTAATATTGCACTATACAGTAGAATTAAATATGGTTAATGCCCTGGGATAGAAGCTGTTTTTCATTCTATTTGTCCTTGTTTTATTATCCAGTACTGTCTGCCAGATGGTAATAGTTAAAAAAAAAGGGTGCCCAGGATGAGATGAATCTTTAAGAATGTTTTGAACTAGAGTCGGATCTCAGATTTCTGCAGCAGACTTGGGAGGGGTGCACCGCATTGGGGAATGTGATTTATGACACAGACTGAGGGGAGAGAAGGAGCGGGAAAAGTTCAGCTATAATTCAAATAAGGCTAAGATCTGACTGCGAAAAGATGTTGCCAAAATAAATGCTCCTAATAAATGTCTAATTTTCTTTTGAAGTTTGGCCTGAGACTCAATCAATTAGGGCATCTTTTGGAAACCTGACAGTCAGAGCTCCTTTAAAAATCTGTCAGGATTACCAGGTCTCCTGAATCCTGGACTCTCCAATCGCTCCCCCGATATCTGGGGTGCCTGAAGGGAAACTCAGGCAACCATGGCAGAGGGCAAGCTATCCGAAGAGAGCCTGATTGCAGCTGGAGTGCAGCCTGACCTCAGACATCAAAGCCAAGATGCCTGCTCCAGTGACCGAAGAAAGAGGAGATGAGTATTCAACTCCTAAAGCAGCTAAAATTGAGCTCCCCCCACCCCAATGCCCAGAAAAAGGGAAGGGCCGTGAGCGAGCTAGGAAGAGTGGAGTGGATGCTGGACTGGAACCAAGCCAGGTTCCCAAAGCCCCTGATGCAGCCCCTGGGGAGTTCCATAGAGCAACGGAGGGAGGAATTTGACTGGGCCACCGTCCGTGAAGAGAGGCCATTATGCAGGCCAAAAGAGAGGGGAGGAGCAGTGGTTCCTCTTGAGGTGATGAGAAGCAGATGGGAACGCAGCCCCCCTTCTCCACCCATCAGAAGGAGGCTCAAACCAGTGCATCTCCCACGTAGCAGGCAGGCTGCGCAGGGCAGACAATCCCCTCCCTCCCTCCCTCCCTCCAAACTAGAACTGAGGAATATGGCCAGACATATCAAGTACAAGCATACAGAAGCCGAAAAGAAGAGGGAGGAGCAGTGCTGAATGAACCGCCCCAGTTCAGGGGAAAGTTTGATGGGGACTCAGACCAGTTAGCCCTATTCTTGACTCAGCTGAGATCCACCTAGAACGCTATGGACACTGCTACTCATCCCCAAGAGCCATAGTGAATACTATTGCAAAGGGACTAGAGGGAGAAGCAAGGGAATGGCTAGCAGCCCTCCACAAGAGGAGAGCCTCCCAACTGCAAGGCGTAGATGACTTCCTACGACTGCTAGAAGCCAGATTTGAGGAGGTGGAGGAGGACCTGTATGCGGAAGATGAGCTCAGCGACCTAAAGCAGAGGGGCTGCCCCATCAAAGAGCACCTTTGTGAATTTAGGAGAGTCATTGGAAGGCTACCCCCTTTACCAGAGCATCTGTTAGTGCATTTTTTCAGAACAAGGCTGGACAAGCAGATTGCCCAGGTAACTGCTTACCGCGACGTCCCAAACCGACACTGAGTGGTTCCGAGTAGCAATAAAAGTCAACGTTGGATTGCGAGCTAACAACATGATAAAGCCACCGGACACGAAAGAGAGAGGTCAACCCGACCTGAAACCACCCAGCTGACGGGGACCCACAGCAACACAGCGGGCCCCAAAACCAGCCCCCCCTCGAAGTTCGCTGAAATGCTACAGATGCGGGGGGGAGGCACATGGCAGCTGCATGCATGACCCCAATGCCAAGGCCATAGCCACCACAACGACTGGAACGGGGCCACAAATGGGCCAACAATGCGTCCCGGAAGGCCCTTCAGGCTGCAGAGGTCCCTCCCCACCCAGACGAAAGGGGGGGGGGGCAGGCAACAATGAACAGTTGCCAGAATCCTATGTCAGTGACAACGAGGGTGAAAACGACCCAATGGTGAGAGGACCAGTTCACCCTTTCGTTTTTCCAATACACCTCACAGCCCCAAAAACAGGAAGCACAGGCTGCACTAGATGCTTGATCAACCTCATCAACCTAATCCGTTTTGAACAGGTCGACGACTCTCTAATGGGGGGAGCCTGTGCCACCCACCTCACCGAACCAGTGAGACTAGAGCTAGCGGATCACTGGGAAGTAATTTGATTCATAATAGCCCCCAAAATGACAGATGCAGTCATACTGGGACTCTC